AGTATTTTTATATAAATTCAGCTGCCTCTATCTCAGTATTTACTAATAGTTCTGACATTTAGTTTTTACAAAATAAACATTTTTTTAATCAAGTCAAGTTAGAATAGCTCAGAGGTGAGACCCTTGCGGTTATCACCTATTCACTTAAGCCCTTCCTGACTTCAACTATAAATTAACATCCTCCTACCAAGCTCCCCTGCTGGGATGGCATTATTTATTTAAAGTTCTCCATTTACAGTTTCAGTACCCTCTGAATATCACTGCGCTCTACATGGGGGAGCTACAGACAGCTAAAATTGTGGAGGCCCTGACAATTTCATTGGCAGCCACAGCCGGCTCCTTATTCATTCGCCCAATCAGGAAGCCGGGACATTATTCGCCACACGGCTTCCTGATTGCCTGGGAATCCAGCTCCATGTTCCCCTACGGTACTGCCAGTTGGAAAAAATATTTCTCTGACCGGAAGTTCCGGTATCAGAGCATTTGGGTGAGTATGAGTACTCAGTCAAATACTCGGTATCAGCACCGATACCTATACTAGCATCGGTATTAGTGCATCCCTAGGTAACACCATAACCCTAACCTTAAAGTGTATTTGTAGCCATAACTTGGCAGTAATCTCTCCAAAGTGAGGGGAAATGTCCTCTTAGGCAGCTGTCACCAGAAAAAGTGTCCTCATTGAAGGATTTACCCTCAACTCCTGTTTTGCTTACAATTGTAAATGGCCAACATTACAAATAGAGTAGGTGAAGCTCACCAGCAGGTACAGTAAAAGGAATAAAAACCTGACAAGTGGGGGCGCTAGTGAGCAGCCAACTAAGATGGCCGCAATCTAACCTGGCTCCACTACACCCGGACACGAACCTCAAGAGCTAGATACGTATTCGGTGCCCCACTACCTGCCTAAATAGTGGCATAACTCTATGAACGGTTGGAGATCAGAGATGAGAAGGAGTTACAACAATACCCGCAACCGTTCACGCAGAGCGAATACTCCGGCCTTGACGCGCTCTCCAGCCAAGATGGCGTCGTCTCCCTCAGGGCCAAATTCACAGCCGTCCTCACAAGAGTCGACGGCGGACGCGGACCGGGCTTCAAATGCGAGTACATCCTCCCCTGTGCCGAGCCATCAACTGGAGCCGGCTTGTAGGGATTCTGACCTACTAGATCGATTCAAAATCCTGCTACAGAAGGAGCTGAGAACCGCCACCGACAAACTGGCGGCACAGCTCTCCCGTGATATCAAAGAACTGGGCTCCAGGATAAATGATATCGAATGCAAAATGGACGATGTGGTCAGCATTGTGGAATCTCACGAACAGGACCTAGACTCCGTTAAAACTGACCTTTCCGCTACCCTCCTCAAGCTGGAAGACCTGGAGAACAGGAACAGGCGCGGGAACATTCGCTTACGTGGTATCCCTGAACACGTGGAGGACCTGAATGCCACGGTCACGGCCATGTTCCAGGAACTCCTCCCGCACTACCCGGTCGAAAGGCTTGAGATGGATCGGGTGCACAGGGCCCTGGGCGCCAAAAGATCGGAGGGACCACCGCGAGACGTAATCCTTAAGCCGACCTTTTACAGGGCTAAAGAGGAAATCGTGAAGGCAGCCTGGGAGCGCCGTGACCTCACGTTCCAGGGATTCAAGTATCAAGTCTACTCTGACCTAGCCCCACAGACCCTTCAGAAGAGGAAGGCCCTGAAACCATACCTGACCTCCCTGGCGCACCATCGCATCAAATACAAGTGGGGCTTCCCTCTCAAAGCCCACTTTGCCTACGAGGGTCGTCAGTACTCATTCGCCACTCCGGAGGAAGCGGGCACGCTGCTGGAGTCTCTACGCTTGACCACACCGGATTTGCTCAACATCCCACCGCTGGCTCCGCAGACCCAACCGAGACGACGCTTGCAAACGCTATGGGAACGCGGCCCACGACCTAACCGGAAAAAGATACGGCTTGATCTCTACGTTAACAGTTGAAACATAACAACAGAACTGCGAATGTAATCAGGAAGGAGACTGTTACTAGCGTCTTAGAAATATCATTATATCTGTACCATGTATGTTTTATGTTTATGTTGGAAAATAAAAAATTATTGCAAAAAAAAAACAAAAAACCTGACAAGTATTTTTAAGCATTCCCTGCACTATTGCACCTTTTTATTCTTAATGGCACCCCAATACCCCTTCAACCCAGTGCAACACAACAAATGGTAACAAACTATATTCATTTTATGTTGTGCAATGCATTACAAAAAAATAGTACATGCAGCATTTTGATGCATTCTGCAGCACAAATAATTTACTAGGCTGTCTCAACAGAACATACGGTAAGGTACACCATAACATGTGTTAGCACATGCTTTACCACACCAAAAGTAAACATGGCTTAAGAAAAAAAGTTTAGGCTACAGATGCACTTTAACCCCTCAACCTAAGGACTCATTCACACTGCAGTTGTAATAAGCCACTTAGCAGTAGGTTCAGACCTTTGTCCAACATCCCCTAAATTATGCAGGTACATGTGGAATGGTTCTATCCATATATTGGTGGTCAAGACATTATGGCAACATTTTGGTCACAGAATGCCTTAATAAGCATGCCTTATGCCTATTGTTGTTAATTGCTTTTCCGAGCATGTGGATTTGCTGCAAGTAGAACACTGCCTGAAACACACAGTCTTTGGATAAATAGTCAACCTTAGGCTAACACCAAATCAACCCTTACATGAGTGTATTTACCTTGTCAGGCAACTAAACTAACAGCACCAAAAGCCACCAATTGTATGCTGATATCTGGCTGGTACTAAAAAAGATCATTTATAAAGATTAAAGTTGTAAAGTGATATTCTCAAATAGAGTTGACTCCCTGTTCAGTTTTTCCTCACTAAAGGATAAACTGTCAAAAAAAAAAAAGTTTTATTTGTTGGACATGGCATCTAGCATAAGCTGCACAGCATAGTTCAATAGATACAAAATATGCAGTATTAAAGCGGCGACAGCAGTGTCTGGTGGACACTGCCGTTGCCGCTTTAACACAGCCGCGTCTCCTTCCATGTGGGCTGGAAAGGGCAGCGGGAGAGGGGGTGGGGGAATCAGTGATTGGTCCCCTCCTGGCTGCGGGCCCTTGGGCAGTGCCCGAGTGGACAGTTCGCCCCTGATGCTCCTCCATAACTGGTGTTGGGGAGGTGAAAATGACTCTTTAAAATTAGTCAAATAGCTAAATTTAAGATCCTTATTCTTGTGTTAAAGCTTTTCAAACCTATAGTGGTAAACTTTATTAGAAGCTCTTTTTTGTAACATAGCTTTCACAACTTCTGTTTTTATTTTTAGGTTTACTGATTGTTTAACCCCTTCATGACTGAGCTTGTTTTTTAGTTTCTGTTCGTAAATGACTGACACACTTTTGACATTTTTGCTGTGTGATTCTTCCACGTCAGTAATATACTTTCTTACAAAGTGCACCCACACATATTATATATTGTTTTTTAGAGGACAGATAGGGCTACATATTTATATCACATATGTGCATCTAACGCCTCACTTAGGACAAATAAAATATAAAAAAAGAGGAAAAAACCGTTAAAAAAAAACCACTTTTTCCCCAGTTTTGATTTGTAGTATTTTTTTTACAAAACCAGCACAGCTAAAAAAATGCAATAAATACATTCATTTATTTGTCCCTTATTTTATTTTATTTTTTACACATTTTTTTATTTTTTTTACACTTTTCACATTTTTTTTAAACTTAAAAATGTTATTTTATTTATTTAATTATATCAAGCAGATTTTGTGAATTAATCTCACTGTTACTGCATGATAAATTAATACATTTTTGGTTATTATCAGGCTGCTTCAAACTTCAGAACAGCCGATAATAAGTTAGTGACACTGATCCTGCAGCAGTTCAGGATTCAGCTGTTACTAAATGTTTTCTGATTGTTGCAACAACGATCAGCAAACAAACATTCTTCTTCCAGGAATAGATACATTGTAGGAATAGACACATTTTGTATCTATTCATGAAAGAAAAAAAAAAAAGCCAGTATAGCTTGAGAGAGATATCTCTCGATCTATACGAGCTGTCAGAATGCCGGCAAAAGCCGGCATCTGTGTCCGCTTTGCTTTGACTCTCAGACACCCGATATTAAGGTATCGGGTGTCTGAAAAAGGTTAACCCTTTCATTAATGAATGCCTCTGTAGTAAGGGCATCCATTAATGAATGTTAAAAGCTGATTCTCAGCGATTAACAGCCCTCTAAAGCAGCAAATAACTCGTCACGTACAGTGTACGTGACAAGTCATTTGGTCCCTTTGTGGCTGGACGTACAGTGTACGTCTCCCGTCACGAAGGGGTTAAGAGAACGAATAAATATACACGGGCAGCACATGACTTAGTGGTTAGCGCTTCTGCCTTGCAGCACTGGGGGTCCCTGGTTCGAATTCTGGCGAGGTCACTATCTGCAAGGAGTTTGCATGTTCTTCCTGTGCTTGTGTGGGTTGCCTACGGGTACTCCGATTTCCTCCCACACTCCAAAGACATGCTAGTAGGTTAATTGGCTCCAGTCTAAATTGGCCCTCATATATGTATGCATGTGAGATAGGGACCTTAGATTGTAAGCTCCTTGAGGGCAGGGGCTGATGTAAATGTGCAACTACGTTAAGCTGCGTAATTTGTTGGCGCTATCTATATAAATACCAGTAATAAATAAATATGAATATAAGACTATTTTGACAGGTACCTTTCAAGATTTCAAAACATTAACATTGGCTGTCATGTACAAAATGCTCTAAGTTTACCACAATGAACTATTATTTCTTCCTATTTCTTAATATGTGCAGAATGTAACAAGTTGGTTGTTATTGGTTTCCACCCTCGGCTTATATTCGGGTCAATACTTTTTCCCAGTTTTTTGTGGTAAAATTAGGTACCTCGGCTTATATTCGGGACGGCTTATACTCGAGTATATACGGTAAACATTCTGCATTTACTTACTTTTTCTGTGATATAGAACCCAGAACCTTCTGCATACTGAAGTGCCAACTCTTCATGATTCTGAATAATGGACCATCTACAATATAAAATAAGTACCCATAAGAAAGGATGCACATTAATCCAAATAACGTTTATTTACATAGAAACACAATTTTGTGTTTGTGTCAAATACAAAATACTATACTAGTGACAGAAAAAGCAAACCAAAAACGTACCAATCGTTGCAATGTATTCTTCAAATTCTAAACTATAACAGAACACTAGAGGACTGGGTGCTCTAACTGTTCTGTGAGTAGGTTATTGTTTCTTTTGTTGAAATTTCATACCTCAGTTGCTGAGCTGAATCAAACAACAACCAATGCACATGACAAAATAATGAATATTTCATCAGTAAAAAAACAAATATAAAAATAATTAAATCTCCATCAACCAACTATTACAAACACAAATCCCTGACGACCTTATAGGTAACCTTTTCAACAATCTCAAAGGGTTCCCTGCCATTTTGATAAGAATTTGTTCTCAACAATTGGCCTAAGAAGCATTACACGCATTTGCCATCTCATCCAGGGACTGGGGTTCAGCCTAGGCCACCCAGCATTACAGTTTCTTGGAAGAACAGCACACAGAATGGCCTACGGCAACAAGCGCCACAATCTTAGTGGGGGTCAGCTCCAGGGGATGCAGTGAGTCTTAGAGCAGGTACATCAGAATATACAGCAGTGCACAGGCAGGTTTAGCCTTGTCAAAGCATGAACCATGGTCAAAGGTCACCCTCATAGTGTGAGTAACCCCCAGCCTGGCCAGTATTTCAGCCTTCAACACCTTGTAGTCATGTGCTGATTCTGGAGTCAAGTTAAAGTATGCCTGCTGCGCATCTGCAAGGGCCAGCACATCCACCCAATCAGTCTCAGTGCAACCATTCTCTCAAGGATATTCATTCAAACAGTACAATACATTGAATACAATCATGTATCTTTTTTCTCTGGAAATGTTTAATTTTACAGATAAATTACTGCGATGACTTACAAAGCGCCTTTGTATTTATGTGGTCTTTGGAGACATCCAGTTCCTTACACTGTTTGAAAAGTACATTTATATCTGCAAATGAAGTTATTTTTGGGAACTGTTCAAATTACAGGAAAGAACTAATAAAAGGAATGTTCTAATATTGACTTCATTACCAAGCTGTTCAAATTACAGAATTCCCAAAAAAGGTGTTTAAAAAGAGATCTTGTCAAAAGTAATTGTTACAGTCGAATTAGTATGCTCTGTCTGTTTTCAGTAATAATAGAACAGCAATATAAGGCTCAATTTCCATTTTGCTAAAAACACTTGGTTTAAAAACCACACTCAAGTGCAGTATTTTGATGAAGCTATTAAGTCTCATAATCTGAATATTACTGTGCCTTCATTAACTTCTCTGTGCCGATAGGGTGATAACCAACCTTTTTTTTCATGTTGCAGCTCCACTGACAGCACCCAGCTTTGAGAACAGGCAGCTGCAAGTTGAAAATAACCACTTTGTGTAGTTCCCGGTCATGTGACCCTGATAATGTTATCGCTGTAACAGACAGATCTTTCCTTTTTCTCTCAGTCAAACTGTGCGTGCCCTATGAAAATGTTTGACATCGGGACAGAGCTGCTGCTGACAGTCTCCCGACTTGGATCAAGAATCAGATGCCATAATTGATGGTACCTGATCATATAATCATCAATAATGGTGATCATGCAGAAAATATCCAGCTGGACATGTGGTGCCCCCTCTCCCGACAAAGTAGTTTCTGCTATGGAGAGAAAATGGGTTATAAGACCTGGGTCTCTCAATCGTCTCTAACTGTCCTCAACTGATCCTTGCAATTAAGGGCACTTAATGAATAACTAAAAGATTCAAACAACCAAGAGTATGGTGTTACAGCATACAAACTTTAAGGGGAAAAGATTGACTGACAGACAGAGGTACCGAGTAAAATATATTTTAATTTGTGTTAAAAATATATTGAAATTGTGTCCCCAGTTCTAATCCTCCTTAGGGTGGCCATAGTCAAACAGATAGCTTACTGAGAAGGTGTGGGGTGTGGTGTAGGTATGGGTGTATGCGAAAACTACCCATCATGCAACTACTCCCCCACGTTCAATTATCCAGTAAATCATCTTCCCTAAGCAGCCATTAGATAAATACAGATAACACACAATGAAAGTGGTGTTTTCTTTTCACAACTGGGAGGTAACCAATCAACTATGTTGGAAAAAACTATCCATGCAATAAAAAATAACTCTTAGCAACTGGAAGTACTTATTACCCAACCTCTGCATTCTCTAACTGAAGTAATGTGTGAATTGTGACAAAGTTTTGGAACTAGCCAGCCTTAGGATAGACATGGGCAGGCAGATATCTCAACATTAAAAAGGCAATAAGTTACTCGCTCTTCCGCAAACCAATTGCTGCCCCTCTCTGACTTGCTGCTTTCTCCTCTAAAACAAAAGTAACAGTTTTAAGTTGTGCATGTAAAGAGTTATTCAAATGCCATTGGGTCCATGCCAACAAACTATAAGGCAACTGAAAAAACAAAAACACTACTCCTGCAAAAGAGCCAGTCTTGCATCCACCTCTAGTTGAATTGCCTGCAGATCTTAGACCTGGTCCAGATATGTGCAACAGAGTCCAAAACAAAGGGTTAAACACTGTTCTCAATTAGTATATTTTTCAAACCAGAAGCACAATACATATAGACGTTAATATAAGGAGCCTCAACAACTTTACCCTATCCTATGGCCAGACCAGTGAAAGATTGCTACATTGCTGCTTCCTGATTTACAGTGACCGCGTTGCTAACATATAATTGGTTAACGTCACCTTTATTTTTGTCCTTTGCTATATTTACTCTTTTTTGCATCACCCAGTTATAAATATAATGGAAAAAAAGTGTCAGTTTTACAAAATATCCTATGCTTTCATTGTAGAAACAATATAATGTCATAAAAAGAAATGCCAAAAAGAAAACAGATCCTAAAGGAGAAAAAAGTCACACACGTATGGGATCTTCATAATGAGAAGATATAACCATGAAAGTCTGAGCGTTTTAAATGGTAGCAACTCCGTATCCGAATTCCGTATTTCGGACTAACTACCATCAACTCCAATATAAATGTACTTTGCTTTTTACCTTCAATATAACGAATGTTCGTAATGGAACGAAAATACGTCAACAGAATTTCGTATTTCCTGCCTGTATTTGTAATGCAACTCTCAGCAGCAGAAGAGAACCTCTGATTGGTCAACCAAAACGAAATACGATTTCCGTTAACGGATTCTGTATCCGAATTTCGTATTTCGGACTTTAAAAAAAAAATACCATCAACTCCAATATAAATGTACTTTGCTTTTTAACTTCAATATATAACGAATGTTCGTAACGGAACGAAAATACGTCAACGGAATTTCGTATTTCCTGCCTGTGTATTGTAATGCAACCCTCTTGTCATGTTGTTCAACCTCATTTACAGGGGTAATATTAGTTCCTGTTTCAAAGAAATTCGGTTCCGAAATTCGTTAACGGAATTTCGTATTTCGGATATAAATTCGGAAACTGCCATTCGGATTTCGTATGCTTACGAATCTACGAATTTCAGGAAAATTCGTACGAATTTCGATTTGTAACGAAACGAATCGCACATGTCTACTGTCTAGTGATACAATAGGAGTGGAAGCTGATTATCGTCTTCATCTCGTGTCCATAGATACTATAAGCCAGGGGTATGGAGAGAAAGTGGAGCTGGGAATTGGAGCTCTACCTAAACAACATGGAAGAGATCAAAAGATCACCAGGGTACACTGCATTTAAAAAAAAAAATAACCTAGCATGGCCTTATTTAAAAGGAAGGAGTAAGTAACAGTGCAAGGGTCAGATTTTAGTAACGCAGAGTGCAGAGGTCAGGAGTACATAAAGCAGAGGTCAGAAGTATGTCATGAAGAGTGCAGGATTCAGCAGTGAGTAACGCAGAGTGTACGGTCAGCAGTGAGTAGTGAAGAGTGCAATGGTTATTAGTATGTAGGGTAGATTTCAAAGGTCAATAGTAATCCAGAGTTCAGTGGTCAATTGTGATTAATGCATAGTGCAGAGGTTAGGAGCAAGTCATACACAGTGCAGGGGTCAGGTATATGTGAGTGCAGGGGTAAAAAGTACATAACACAGAGGTCAGTAGTAAGTTACGCATATTGCAGAGGGAAGAAGTAACACAGAATGCAGGGTCAGTAGTACATAACACAAGAGTTCAGAAGAGAGCAACAAAGGGTGCACTAGAGGTAGAGGCATGTCCTCCCTCTGTGATACACTGAGCTCAGAGCTATTAGTGTGTCCCTTGTGGGCAGCAGGGGTCCCACACACCTCCTTATCACCCCAAAAAAATCACCTGCTCTTCAGTTAACTTTCAGCCATGGAGAAAATCATCCACTGTGAGATTCCCGGGCTGAGAGCTACACATAAATAACTTGGCAGCAGAATACACTAGCCATCTTTGAGGTGCAACATATGAATACTGTAGTAAATGTGTTGCACCCACCAACACACAAACCCCTCCCCTCTTTGCTGACCTGTCATAATGAGGCTGTTTTAACTAAAGAAAATATGTTCAAGCATTAGAGGCTAAGGACAAATGTGCCACACAAGAGCACAATACACAGAAAACAATACAGTGTTGTAAATGTGTTCCTGTATTAAATTTGGCATGTAACACTATATGCACTGTTAATGCAAAACCACATGCCACATGAATTAGTGGTAATCATCCTGAGACTTGGTGACACACTCAGGTGACTGTTGGCCTACTGATTATGTAAATTATTATTACTTTAGGGTTTTATATTGATAAAAGCATTCTGCTTTGCTTTATCTATCGTCAAGTTTTCTCATAACTGCAGCCATCCAGTGTGACCTGTGTTTGTCTGGAGAAGCTGGGGGACAAATGTTAATGCTCACATACACAGTAGAATGACCATCACTGTTGAAAGGTTTAGCTAGCTCATTCAAAACAATTGCAATGCATTTTCAAATAATGGTTAAGGTACATTTATCAATCTTGGAGCATTACTGCAGCATTCACTGAGACATTTTCAGATATGCAACAATTTCGTAAACCTACTTACCCATCACTGACTTCCTTTATTATAGCAGATAAAGGCTTTTTCTGAAAATGAAACAAAAAATGGAAACAGTCAGAGCACTTATATTGTCTTATAATGTCTCTAAAATCTAAATCACAAGCTTTTTTGGCTAAAAGTCTTTTGGTAGAAATGTGATTGTAAGACTTAATAGAGCTTTAACTAGAACTCCAGGCATAAATATTCTTAAACCTTGCAGTAGGGCTACCCCCGCACTGCAAAGGTTAAGTGCTCGTTTCCGTCTTGGGACAAAAATACCGACCTGAACCTTAGAGCCAGCTGGCTGCTAGACTGATCCCTTCAGCCTCTCTCCTCTGCTCCAGCAAAGGATTGTCCCTCTGTGTCCTGACGATGACTCACCAGACCTTAGCAGAGGGGGAGCAAAGCTGAAAGGACCTGCCTAACAGCCAGCTGGCTGCAAGGCTCAGGTGAGTATATATTTATTATTTTAATACCTAGATGAAAATGAGCACTTAATCCTTGCAATGCGGGGGTAGCCCCACTGCAAGGTTTAAGAATGTTTATGCTCAGAGTTATTCTTTAAAATAAAGTAAAACAAAAGGCGTTTTTTTTCTTTTAAGATTGCCCGATCACCAATGTCACCAAGATTAAAAATTGTAAGTAAATCCAAAATGTTGAGTTGCCACCAAAACAGGTATAGTGGAGAAATCCTCTAATGGGGACACATGTTTCAGTTACATTTACCTAAGATGGGATTTCCCTCATATTGGAAAAATATGCTCTCACTTCCTGTTGAGTCTGCAGAAGGAGAAGTGAAAGGAAATCTACCTAATAAAACACAGATGGCAAACAAAACTGAAAAATGACAGTGCATTTAACCCTTCCCTTCTAGATGTATTTTAAAGCCAAATTTATTTTGTATTACTATAATGCAGTCAAGGCTTCATAAACAGTAATAAATCTATGTGTCTTTTATTGTTGTCTTTTTACTGTACAGCTTGCCCTGAGCTGGAAGCACACTGGAGATGCAGACTGCTGCTCAATACATAGTGCAGAGGTCTGGCTTTCCAACAGTCTGATGCCCTCTGCACAATGCCAAATAAACAGGGATCTTAGATGCTGTTGTTTAGAACACGGTGTAGCATGTTGTATTGGACTGCTGGGGATCTGGACTGCTGGGGATCTGGACTGCTGGATACCTGGACTAGGTCAGTCTGCGTTGAGCAGTGGTCCGGATCTCCGGCATGCCATCAGCACAGGGCATTTTAACCCTAGCTGTGGTACAATAGTACAGTAAAAAATAAACTAAAAACAGATATATTGCTTCTTATGCAAACCGACTACATTACTGTAATAAAAAATAAACTTAATTTGGGTGATAGAATGAATCTGTTAAACAGTTGTCTTGGGAATAGGTATAAGAAGGGCTAAAATACTTACCTTTACAGGAAAAAATGCTCATGCAGGAGCCCTCCAGTGGTGATCAGTGACTGAAAGTCTAGAGGTCTATGCTTACATTTAACTATAGGTCCAGTTTGAGTGACAGCTTTAATTTGACTTTAAGTTTGAATATAGGTCAGCTGAAACATTGAGTAAGAGAATTCATCCCGGTGGTCTACACAGGTCCCACTAGTTATAAAATAGCATAACCTACCATTTAAAATGTATGGGCAACATAAAGTGTACCTCCAAAACCTATTTTTTGTACGTTTTGAAAAAAGTGAGGAACGGTTAAAGTAGAACTGCAGACAAAACATTTCCTAGTTTTGGATAGTGTGGAGAAATGTTAGAACATCTATCAGGTGTATTTTTTTCTCTATGTATTCTTTTTGAAGAGATTCCCTTCACTACCTGTCACAGAGACACAAAACGAAAGGGGAGGAAATCTCAAAATGAGGTGGCCTTCAGCAGATGCACCAAAACAGATTGGCCCATTAGGAGATTTTTCCAGTGACAATTGTAAAATTGAGGATATTTATCTTACAATGCGCCTTGGTGACACTGATCTCTAAAATAGGTAGTGAGAAGAAAACTCCCAAGAGGAACATGGGGAGCAATACACATGTCAGTGAAGTTTTTTTTTTTAAGCAAGTACAGGTGAAACTCGAATAATTAGAATATCGTGCAAAGTTCATTTATTTCACTAATGCAACTTAAAAGGTGAAACTAATATATGAGATAGACTCATTACATGCAAAGCAAGATAGTTCAAGCCGTGATTTGTCATAATTGTGATGATTATGGCTTACAGCTAATGAAAAACCCCAGGAACCCCAAATCCACAAACTCAAAAAAGTAGAATATTACATGCAATCAATAAAACAAGGATTGTACATAGAACAATATCGGACCTCTGAAAAGTAGAAGCATGCATATGTACTCAGTACTTGGTTTGGGCCCCTTTTGCAGCAATTACTGCAATTACTTTTGCATGATATTCTAATTATTCGAGTTTCACCTGTATGTCTTTGTGTCAGTGAAGTTTTAAAGCTCGTACCAGATCTGGTTCAGATCTGGTCCAGAAAATGGTGTGAACCGGCCCGCAGTTCTAGTGCATTCCAGACCAGACAAAATGAGACTTGCAGTATTTTTCTGGTCTGGAATGGACTGCGCTGGTGTGAACAGAGGCAAGAAATAGCATAGGGATATATTAGGATGCATTTTGGGTCCGGAAACGATCTGGTCTGGTCAGGATGTGGTGTGAATGGGCCCTACAGAAAAAAAAAAGGAATTTGCAGCTGAGATACACATGTGGGAACTGTTTTACCGGTCAAATTGTAATTCAATATGTTAGGTCTTGGAAACCAGCCCTGCCAGACAACACATCCAGGCCTGGGACCTTCTTCACAGCTACAGCACTATAGTAGGTTTTGGGCAAAAGATGTAATACCCTGATGCCATCACACGTGCACTGTAGCAGCCCATGATTGCACAGGGGATTAGCGGAGGCCTACGTCAACACAGGGTCAGATACTTACACTAGTTGCATTTAATATACAGGTGAAACTCGAATAATTAGAATATCGTGCAAAGTTCATTTATTTCACTAATGTGAAATAGGTGAATAGGTGAAAAGGTGAATAGGTGAATAGGTGAAACTAATATATGAGATAGACTCATTACATGCAAAGCAAGATAGTTCAAGCCATGATTTGTCATAATTGTGATGATTATGGCTTACAGCTCATGAAAACCCCAAGAACCCCAAATCCACAACCTCAAAAAAGTAGATTATTACATGCAATCAATAAAACAAGGATTGTACATAGAACAATATCAGACCTCTGAAAAGTACAAGCATGCATATGTACTCAGTACTTGGGTTTCGGCCCCTTTTGCAGCACTTACTGCAATTACTTTTGCACGATATACTAATTATTCGAGTTTCACCTGTACATTCAGTATTTTTTTAATTAACACATAACTGCATTCATTTTTTTATATCCTCCTGGAGTTCAGCTTTAACCAGAACACTTTATTTTCTTCATTGAAAGGATTACACAGATGTGGCACAGCACTTTCATTGTTGTACTGAAAAGCTGGACACCTGCATCACAGCAGCAGTACACGTAAATTGAATTTAAGCTGATGCAATTCAAACTGGAACTATGGCACACGTGTTAACATACTTACAGAGAACACTTACAAGTTTGGGGAAGGGGGGGGGTTGTACACAATATGTTATTTAAAAAGAGGCTTTATGGCGAAATAGTACATTTAAAAGGATCCATTTTTATGTTAGCAATTTCAGAGAAGTAAATCTAAGTAGAAAAACAAAACAAACGTTTTAAATGATTCCAAAATTAGTTTTACGTTATGCTGTTATAATAGGACTAAATTAAAGTGAATCTGGGGGAAACATTTGTAAATAAATAATAACTAAATAATCTAGTGCAATACATAATTAAAGGAAAGCCTCAGATGGAAGCTTCCATTTGTTATTTTTTGGGCACCAGGCTCCAGGATAGTAATGCTAAACTTGCACATAAACTGGTATGCAGGACAGAAAAGCAGAGGATGGCAGCTTTCATTTGAGACCACTCACAAATGTTATGGCATTTGGGGCAAACATTATAAAAACTAATAGCGCGGGTGTAGTGGCAGTGGTGAGAGTTAACATAGGGAAGGTGACCTCATCCTGGACCTTTAACTTTGTGACAGACTCCCTTTAACAGAGGTACAAACCACATCTGTCACATATTCAACCTGCCACGCAGAAATGTAAATATACTTTTTAGGTTAAAGATATTTTTGGATCAGCTCTACAGTATAGAGTAGCGCTAAGTTGAGGAAGACATACATACCTGGTCAATTTCCATTAACTTTGGATATGCTCCAGGCCATTGAATGGCCACCTTGACTATATCTGAAGGTGGCGGCATCCTTCTTTAGGTTAACAGTAGCTGCACACTGAAAATACTAGACCATCCAGACCTAGAAAAAGGTAAACAAAGGGGATTTTACTAAGGCGCAATTAACCATTTTTAGACAAGTGGCAAAAAAACATAGCTAGTGTCAGCCAGCTAAATAAAGCTATAGTGCAAGCAATCCTGGAGGCCACACTACTGCTTACCTCCCTATTTCCATTACACAAAAATACCTTGAAAAACCTAAGTTCTGGATATGATGCACACACGTACACCCCCTCCATTCCTAGACTGAAGTGCTCAGTGCCCAAGAGGCCTATCACTAGATTCCAGGACGGTCATTTAGAGCATGCCTAGCTGTAAGCAATTACCACATTTCAGAAAGTAGGATTTGTATATAAAATTGAGGGGATTCCTGTGGACATTAGGGAAAAAAGCCTTGTTAAGGTAAGATGTGCGCATTATAGTGCCTGCTATTCAGTATCATTGGTATTTTGCTGGCATGTACAGGTTTGCATATCAGAAAAAAAGTAATGCTACTAATAATGTTATTTGCAGTATTAGTGTTAGTAGTATTAATATGTTTTTAAAAAATGCAGTGCATTAACTTAAAATCAATCTTAATAGACAACTTCCATGTTGATAAAATGCATTTAGAGGAGGAATGGTTAGAACCCATGTCAGGTTTGTATTGCTGCCTGTTTTCCCACTGGGAAGCGTCATCTTACTATTTGTCCTGAGTGCCATTGTTACAAGAACAGAAAATGAGAGGAAACTCAAGATGTTACACTTATCACCAGAATAGATAGTAAAGGGAAATCTTCCAATAGGGGCACCTGTTCCAGTGATAATTGCTTTGAAGAGGTTTCAACTCACTTCCTGTGTCTCTGACTTTGTGAACTGATATTTAGCTTAAAAGTGACTCTGAACTGAGGAGTTAAATCTTAAAAATGCATTCAAGTACCTTATTACCAAGCTGACTCGTGTGACAGACCACAATCTCACATTTAGTTTACTACTTTACATTGAGATTGTAAACCATTACAGTAGTGACCTTGGAGTGGTGGCTGCTTTACAACACACACAGGGACCATGGGGAACAAAAGTAGCCACCCTCCAGAAGGAAGGACAGTGTCAGCACAAATTCAGAGATGATTTGGGGATCTACAGCTGAGTGATACACAAATAAGATACATTTTTGTTAATAATTAAGGTACTTGAATACATTTTTAAAATGTAACTCCTGAGCTTAGTGCCACTTTAAATTAGCCAACCAATGCAGCTATCCAAGTACAGATACCACAGCGTTCCTTCACGTACATTTAGTGCTGAAATGGTTTCCTGTATGTTTTTAAGTCCAAGCTAAGGCATTGTTCCCTCCCTGCAACTCACAATACAATGTGTGAGTCTCAGGAACCTTTAAAGAACCGACAGAGAGAATTTAGCATTTGCTTAGACTGTCATACAGGAGGATGGAACCTTTGCTGAATATAGTCATTTTACCACAAAACATTAGACAGTCACTACACATTTTTGGGTTGGCTTTAATTGACCACAAAGTGGTAAAGTGGCAGCTTAACAAGTTCATTCTCCTTGCCATGAGCTCTTTATATTTCTCTTGAATGTTTGTGGTTTATTAACAAATTTGAAGAAGCTAAACAAAACACTGGAGCTACTTAAAATCAAAATTGACTTCACGGACTTGATATAATTATTTACATCATAGGTTTCTCTATAGGATATTAAGCACTAACTGGAAATAATAACATCAATTATGGTTTCAATTATTGCTCTCAGCTGTCAGAGAGTTTTGCCATCCTGTGATTTGACACTTATCTGCAAATGAACTGCAGAGTGGAGACAGTAGATCATTAAAAGAGCTACAAAAGAATTCTAAACAAAAAGAAGAGGTAGGTCATTCCCCCAAGTCCCTTGTGCTAGGTCTATCTTCTGCGATAGTAGATCATTGCTTCCCTTATGCCTTCATTTTGGGCAGTTAGTCAGGATTTCATCCCATACTAGGTCTGCTGTCCAGAGTCACAGGAAGTTTCAGTTAATTTCCTGCACAATGTGTGTGTGATGTGTTAGACCAGGGGTAGCCAAACTCAGGCCCTCCAGCTGTGGTGGAACTACAAATCCCATGAGGCATTGCAAGATTCTTACAGGCATGACTCCCAGAGAAAGATGCATCATGGGATTTATAGTTTCACCACAGCTGGAGGACCGGAGTTTGGCTACCCCTGGGTTAGACTCGGAGAACTCATGTGAATTCCATTCAGTTCCTGCCCAGCGACAACATGTGGTTGGAAGAAATCTCTTCAGAAAGAGGCATTCTCTTCTCAGACAGCCGCCATCAGAAAAGATGTCCCCATTGGAAGATTTCTCCTCACCTCTTGTTCTAGTGACTATGGTCAAATCTTGGATTTCTTATTTCTAGCTCGGTGACCACCGAGTTCATCAGCTCTATTTAAAAAAAAGTTTGAGGTATACATTCACTTTATTGTATATGTGTAGTCATGCAGTCCAAATTACTCTGACACTTAAAGTGGGCCTTTACACTCAAAAGTCAAATTCTACCAATGCATCCCTCTATGTATGATGATTAATAATAACATAGACCTGCCAGGTTTAAAATGTTGTGATTTTATAATACTTAAACTTGCAGAGCATTCACTTCCTGCTTTGAAAGGGCAAAATGACTTCAGTTTGCCAAAGAAATGCACGCTGGGATTGTCTTGTCATCAGCAGAGCATTGCTGGGAAATCTCATCTGTAATCTAGCAAGATCTCAGGGAAAGGCATTTTCCTCCTCTGAGATGATGTGCATGGTCACACATCCTAGTCACATGTCAAGTCACCTATGCCAGAAATCCAGGAAGTAAAAGGAGAGCTAGTAGTCTGCCCTTAGTAAACATGGCCACGGTCAGAAGACTGCGTCAGAAAAGAGAAATAAGGGTGTCAAAGAATACTATGCCTGCAATTATCTAGAAGTATGTGTTTGTAGATTGTCATTACTAAACATTTCTAAAAGAGTGTTTGATATTTTGAAGGTATGGGTCAATGTTTAAATGATAGTGAATTATTTTTCAAAAGGTGGCCATTACCTGTATGTTTTAATTATATTGAGCGGTCACAAAACCACTAACTGCTCTTTCTGTCCCTCTTCTGCAGTAGGTGGCCATGCCTGCATTGCCTGAGGTTGGCATGGATGCACTGACTGACATACAGGGAGGCAGGGAAATACATTCCCTGGTTTCCTACTTTTCATTTTTAGCAGGGCTAGGCAGAGGGATGTGTAAGCCAGGTTGATGACAGAACGAAGGACAAACTCTGTATGGGCACATGTCCTGTAGCTCAGATCAGAAGGTAAGGGACTTAAACTGCAAATGCTAGAGTGGATCCATCTCTGTGATTGACATGGTCATAGTTTTAAAAATATCCAAACCCAGAAACAAAAATGTAATATATTGCAGCCTGCCAGTCCTTAGACTGAAAAAAGAAGACTATTGCAGCCACCACATCTAAGAACATTTTCAGCAAGTACAGAAAATACCTGATTTTGCTAGAGATGTAGTGTTCTTGTCACTTCCTGTGAGCTAAGCTGGAAACACAAACAATGTTATCTTCAATCTGTAAACTACTACCCCCTATCTCCCATGTAATAAGAGGAAGACTCCTTCATTATATGGGGGGTAGGATATATGGGTAAGTCTTCCTTTCCATTACATTTACAGTGAAAGAGTGAGCGGATGACACGAAGTGTGTAATTTGCAGGATTACCAGGTGAAACTAAAGGGTAACAATCCAGAAAAAAAGAAACTAATGCAGCCATCACATCTAAAGACTGGTAAGCTCCAATATATCACATTCTGTTTTGGCTGACTTTTTCTCACAGCTGTTAGGCCTCTCTTCTGTTCAAACTGAATACTCTCAATTCCCGCTAAATTTGCCTAAATATAACCCTTTAAAACTACAGCAGCTATCTTGAGCCTACCTTTATTTCCTGTCTGAATTACCTCCATCATTCTTTCATTACTTCTCTCAATGATATTGCTGGACCCCCTCTCACAGCTACTAGCATTGTCTGCCATTATTTTGTTCCCGAGCTCTATGTGGAAAAAAACCACCACTGGCATCCCTTTAGCTGTGCCTGCAACAAGTCAACCAATCAGAAGATTGTACAGCTAAAATCTTCAGCTTTCAGTGGCCAGCAGGAAGTAGCAGGCACATCAAAAGGGATCCCGATGATGTGTTCTTTCATATAGTTCTTTTAAGAATGATTCAAATCAGAAAGCTGTGAGGTTTACAGGATACTTTCATTCACTCCCATCAAACTCAGAGTAAAGAGCAGCAGACAGACCCAGTAATGACATTGTTTCTTGAAAAGCAAAATGATTTGATTGAAAAATGTTAAAAAACATATTAAAATCAGGGCGGAGGGTGGGGGGCCGGACAAGGGAATGTATTATATGAGTTCATTACACTTCGGTTTTAAAAATGGCAAGAAGAACACACACATTATAAATCGGGTCTTGTAAGAGCTATAATATATTAGCAGCAAAATGGAAGTGACTGTGGTTTTATGTAATGCTCACAAACAATTAACAATTGTTCCTGATGTCATTGTTGCTTTATGCAGAACACAGCCTCACAGCAGATAGATATAATGCTTCTGCTGTTGTAATCAAGAGACTCGCACAGTTCCAAGCACTTGCTGACATCCAATTACAGTTACTGAAATTAAGATCCAGATGCAGCTAAATAACACAGGGGAACTGGATGTAAAGGCAACATGGTGTTCCAAGGGAGAGACTGTATATTGTAAAATCTATCAGGAGTGTGCGCTCTGAACTAAAGTCCCCAAAAGACACAACTGTCTCCTGCTCTGGACAAAATCAGCCAATCATCTCATTTTTATGGCAACTCATGGTCGTACACCGCACTTTTTCCAAAAAGCCTGGATTACAGTGCTAGGTCTCTAAACTATTGCTGTGCATCCCCTATAACTGCAGGTCTTTGTCCACACATATTCAAAACAGCGGGCAAAAACAAATGGACACTCCA